AGTACCTGCCTACCTTATATGAGGAGCCACATAAAGCACTATGGCTGTCCATAGTAATAACTCAATAAATGCAAAGTATTATTTATTATCATATGCAAGAGCAGGTGCTGCAGAGGTTGAAGAGAGACTGTTGGTTTCCAGTTGGCAAGTGCCAGTCGCAGCACACAGTACTCGAGAGGTTCAGAGGAAACAGCAATGGCACCTGGCAGAGGTGGGGGCTGCTGGCACCCCCTAGTGGGCTCTACATAGCCCATGGCCAGTGTGCCCTTACCATGGTCTCGAGGATGGAAAAGCCAGGTCATCATGTGATTTCCCTCACTTCATAGAGACCAACTTAGTTGTTTTGTTTATTTTTTGTTTAGAAAGGGTCTCACTCTTTTGCCCTGGCTGGAGTACAGTGGCATGATCATGGCTCACTGCAGCCTCAACCTCCTGGGCTCAGCCTCCCAAGTAGCTGGGACTAGAGGTATGCACCACCACAGCCAACTAATTAAAATTTTTTTTAAATAGAGACAGGGTCTCCCTATGTTGTTTAGGCTTATCTCAAACTCCTGGACTAAAGTGATCCTTCCACCACGGCCTCCCACAATGCTGATACTACAGGTGTAAGCCACCGTGCCCAGCCCAGAGTTATTTCTTGAGCCATACCAAAATAAAATAAAACAGAAACACCAGAGGTAGAAGATACTGATATTGCTAACCCTGCTTTAGGTAAAGTGTAGGTCTCTTCCTATACCAGTGGTGTTTCCTCCAGAGGTAGTATTTCCCAACCTACCTCGTTCTTAAAACTCTATGGCCAACTCTCCCTGCCCTGATGGAAAGGACTTTAGTTTGGAAGCTGAGAATCCTGAGGCTAGTCTCAGTTTAACCTCCTCAGTTGTGTGACAGTGTGCCACTCAGAGGCCTTCACCAGGGCCCATCCCCTCATCTGTACAGTGAGGGGATTGCTCTAAACATGTGAGTCTCAGCCTTATTTTTTCTAGGACATGAATGTCTAGTGACATTCCCTTATAGACCTTCTTGTTGGGTGGCCTATTTCCTAGCACCTTAGCTATAACTCAGCCCCTCTCCTGCACTCAAGGAATCATGTTAGAATACAGGGGAGTAAATGATGCTATTATAGGGATAACCTTGAGTCTCTTCTGAGTTATCAGAAACATAAGTACCTGTGAGGTGTAGTTTTGTTCTTAGTCACAGGTCACTTTAATGCTTGGCAGTGAGAGTATCGGGGCCTGGAGGCAGAGGGCCTGTCCTAGAGCACATCCCTCCTCTCCTACCACAGCCTCAGCTTGCAGGCAGGTGCCACCTTCCCAAGTTAAAGTGCAGGTGTCCTTTAGTTATTTAAAGGATTGCAAAACCTTGGTCTTTGGGGTTGAAAAAAAAAGCCCCATGTGAGTGCAGAGGTACTTAGGCTGAATTGGAAAAGCATCTTCCGTCTGTGAGATGCAGGTTCACTCCTCACCTTCCCATCAGGCTGTGACACTTGGTCTGCACATTTCTAAACTGGGTTAGAAAATAATCAGTCTCGTGTGTTTACATCCTGCTGTGCAAGAAAACTGGGGAGGGAATTCCCCTCCTTTCTTTACAGTCTTTGGGGTCTTTCTTTGTTGTTTTTGTTGTTTCCTTATTGTGGAGAACGGGGTCTCGCTGTGTTGCCCAGACAGGTCTCAAACTACTGAGTTTAAGTGATTGTCCCACCTCGGCCTTTCAAAATGCTGGGATTACAGGTGTGAGCCACATGCCGGGGCTGGTCTTCTAGCTTTGTTACTGATGGATTTGTAACCACCCAGATGTCAGAAATACAACCCTTTCTCAAAGCTCTCCAGAGTCCTTGGATTGTTTGTATTTCCAAGACTTTTTAGCTCAGATGCTTAGATGCTAAGACTCCGAGGAAAGAGGTTGGGGAAATGGGGACTGTGCCTTGGAGTCAAGTGTCCACTTTGTCTGTAGTTAGCCAGGCCTGAGTTTTCTGTCTAGTCCTATAGTTCAAAGCATTGCTAATGAAGGAACAAAAAAAAAAAAAAAGAGGATTTGGAGAGGACTTTAAGCAAATTGGTCGTTAGCTAGCCTCCTGTCTCTCAGTACCCCCAGCCGCCAGAGTCACAGCTTTTCGTACAGAGTTAGGCACCCACCTGAAGGGGTCGCTTGTGAAGGTATGAACTCCTCTTCTGTCCTGGAACATCTAACGGTCAACTTCAGCCTCCTTTAAAAAAAAAAAAAAATTATTTATTTAATTGTAGAGGCAGGGTTTCACTATGTTGCTCAGGCTAGTCTTGAACTCCTGAGTTTAAGTGATCCACCCACCTTGGTCTCCCAAAGCACTGGGATTATAAGTGTGAGACAACGTGCTCAGCCACATTCAGCCTTTTATCTGTTTCATAAGAAAAGTTGGGTGACTCATGCTCATAATCCTAGCACTTTGGGAAGCTCAGGCTGGTGGATCACCTGAGGTCAGGAATTCGAGACCAGCCTGGGCAACATGGCGAAACCCCATCGCTACTAAAAGCACAAAAATTAGCCAGGCATGGTGACGCATGCCTGCAATCCCAGCTACTCGAGAGACTGAGGTGGGAGAATCTCTTGAACCGGGAGGCGGAGGTTGCAGTGAGCCACGAGATAGTGCTGCTGCACTCCAGCCTGGGCTGCAGAATAAGACTCCATCTCAAAAAAAATAAATGTTGCAGATGATTATCACTAGTGTCAAATAAAACTGCGTATGGAAAATCTGACTAAAATTTAACAAGAATCCAGTCTTTACAACAGTACAATGAACGCTTGAACTACATCGCGGTGCGGGGGGGTGGGGGGGGGCGGGGGTAGCTCCAACCCCTGCACAGTCAATCTGCATATAACTTTTTTTTTTTTTTTTTGAGACAGGGTCTTGCTCTGTTTCCCAGGCTGGAGTGTAGTGGTGCAAACATGGCTCACTGCAGGTTCGATCTCCTGGGCTGAAGCAATCCTCCCACCTCAGCCTCCCAAGTAGCTAGGACTATTGACACACACCACCACTCCCATCTAATTTTTTATTTTTTGTAGAGACAGGCTTTTGCCATGTTGCCTAGGCTGGTCTCAAACTCCTGAGCTCAAGCAGTCTGCCCGCCTCAGCCTCCCAGAGTACTGGAATTACAGCATGCACCACCATGCCCAGCCCTGTGTATGACTTTTGACTTAACCAAAACTTAACTACTAATAGCCTGCTGTTGACCAGTTGATTAACATAAAAAGTTAAGATGGATTTTATATGTTATAAATGTATTATATACTGTATTACAATAAAGAGAGATAAATAAAATGTTATTAAGAAAATGATAAGGAAGTGGCTGGGTGAGGTGACTCACACCTGTCATCCTAGCACTTTGGGAGGCCGAGGCTGGGAGATCATTTGAGCCCAGGGGTTCAAGACCAGCCTACGGAATGTAGCGAGACCCCATCTCTAATATAAAAATTTTAATAGTATGTTAAAAAGAAAATTTTAAGGAAGAAAAAATATATTTACTGTTCATTAAGTGGAAGTGGATCATCATAAAGGTCTTCATTCTCATCTTCACATTGAGTAGGAGGAGGAGAAGGGGTTGGTCTTGCTGTCTCAGGATGGCAGAGGCCATGGAAAATCCACATGGAAGTACAGCCCTGCCATTCGAACCCATGTTCGAGGGTCAGCTGTTGTTAGATGTGCCACATTAGGAAGTCCAGGCTGGGCAGACAGGAATCACAGTCACAAAAGGGAGACACTGTGATGTGCACAATTTAATGCAGACAAGTAAGATTTCAGTGGCAACAGATCTTTTTGATAGAATTCACGTGCAAAATAATTGATCCATTTGAAAATCATTTCAGTGAAAGTAGAATGGAAAAAATTAGAAATAATTCATCTGTGTTGTATGGAAAAATGGATCAAGGGATTAAGAGTTCAACTCGGAAGATTCGCAACCAGAATTCTCCAGTCTGAGTATAATTCTGTATCAGTGAAAACTCTGGCTGTGTAAGCAGTCCACACTGCCTTGGGAATAAAACGCCGGGATCACAATACCCGGTACTGGCCTGGTACCATGAAACAGCTGTCACTCTTGATAGCATTTGGCCAAGGATCATGTGGCATCTGGGAGCACTTTGGAGGGCCACCCCTCAGCTAGGTTTACACACATCTCAAAGGACAGTGGCCATAAGCCACGAAGGAGGTAAAGGGGGCTGCAGGTGAGGGAGGGAGGTGCTACCTGGCTTGGGCAGCCAAGGCCAGGAGCCAGGTGAGGGATGAGATTCCTTCCGGGGTGATCCAACCAAGTGGCTGAAAGGCTGGGAGGCAGAAGGATGTTAAACTCTTATGCAAAGCCTGAGTTTCCAGGTGCCTTGATTTGATGCCTCCCTATCCCCATTGTCCACCAGACCCTTTTGAGAAAGGGTCTAAAGAAAATAAACCTCAAGTAAGGTGTCAGTGGCCTCTGTTAAACCTTAACAAGGGATGTAAGGCAAGGAGAGCCCTAGTGAAAGCTGGCAGTCAGTTACAGGCTGCAATAAAAAGGACAAATGCTGCCAGGCGCGGTGGCTCAAGCCTATAATCTCAGCACTTTGGGAGCCTGAGGCAGGTGGATCACCTGAGGTCAGGAGTTCAAGACCAGCCTGGCCAACATAGTGAAACCCCGTCTCTACTAAATATATAGAAATTAGCCGGGTGTGGTGGTGGGCACATGTAATCCCAGCTACTCAGGAGGCTGAGGCAAGAGAATTGCTTGAACCCAGAACCCAGAGGTTGCAGTGAGCCGAGATCGTGCCACTGCGCTCCAGCCTGAGCAACAGAGTGAGACTCCATCTCAAAAAAAAAAAAAAAAAAAAAAAAGGCAAATGTTCGAATGAGTCATTGAAGGACGGGTCTAGGGTCTGTTCCAATAGCCATCCTCCACATTGACCCTGACCCCACACGGCTGGTGTTCGAGAGTGCTGACATGTCCTGCAGATGTGCTGGATCTGGAGAAAACATTTCATCCCATTCTCCTCTCTTTCAGGTTTCAAGTGCCCCATTTGCTCCAAGTCTGTGGCTTCTGACGAGATGGAAATGCACTTTATAATGTGTTTGAGCAAACCTCGCCTCTCCTACAATGGTAAGGACTTGGCCTGCCTCACCAGCCTCCAGAGCATTTGTTGGGGGAGCCTCCAGTCGAGGGTGGTTCTGGGCAGTATTTTCACCTTGCCCTCTGGCAGGCATTCCTGAGTGGTGGTGAGGAAGCAGACTGTTCAGGGAGGCTTGTTGCCAAGGTCAGAGAGGAAAAGGGGCGGGACAAGGAAGGAAGTCCCAGGGTCAGGTCCAAGGCTGGGGAAGCCTCTCGGGTTGCTCACTTAGTCCCCTGCCCCTCTACAACTCAGTTGTGAGGACTTTGGGTGGGAGATGCAGCCATTCCTTCACCCATCACACGCTTGACTGTGGAAGGTCCCAAGACAGCCAGATGCACGCCACGGCTTAGCAGACGGGCCCTAAGCAAGCACCCACTCTCCTTGAGGAAGTGTGGGCTATGTGCCAGTGGCATGCACAGAGTGCTGGGAAGCTGGTCGTCTCTTTGTCACTTTCAAACTCAGGTGAACACTTGATTTAGCCCAGTGACTCCACCCCAGAGAGCTTGATGGGGGAGTATGTGTGACACAGTGACACTATAGGGATTGAAAATGCAGGTAGGCCACCTTGCTGCTCCACCCAGGCCTTGTCGCCTCCTACCCTGGCGGCTGCCTCAGAGCCCAGCAGTGAATATCGCAGTGGGTAGGACCCTGAAGGCAGGGGATTTCTTAACAGCCAAGCTAACCTAACAGGACGCCTCTGGGGAACAAAGTAACTGCCAACATCTGCCTAGCATGCTGTGCGTAAGGCTTGGAGTCCAGCTGATGGGAGTTCGAATCTCCCTCTACCACTCACTGTCTCGTCTTGGACAAGTTGCTCGGCTTAGCGGAGCCTCCATTTTCTCGTCTATAAAGTGTGAATAGCAATACTTGGTGCATAGGGTTGTCAGAACTGGGTAAGAGATGGCACATAAAGCCTGGCCCATGGTCAGTGCTTGGGAAGTTACAGCTGCCGTGAAAGATGTGAGATCTCCCTAGGTTTCTTTTCACCGTTTTCCAGAGCCCACAGACTTCTCCTCAGTGCTGCTCAGCCCACACCACTGCTAACCCTCAGTTTTCCATGCTTATTTGTTTAGTCTGGTCTCCAAACCATGTTCGTCAGAAAACGGCATCATCCACTATCACAGGCAGTGGATCTGAGTGCACTCCAACCCCGGTACTGGCCCATCTTCCCAGATTCAAGTCATAGTAGTGGTTAGAAAGAGTTCTGGGATTTCTGAGAGTATCTGAGGACCGGATCATTTGAAACCAGCCTGGCGAGAATGTTTCCTGGGGAGATTCTCTGCCCCGTAGCCTCCTAACTCTCAGAAGGCTCTTACCCTTACACAGCATGAGCCCAGGAGGGATCGTGGTCAGAGAGCAGTCTGGGAAAGTAACTCTGACTAATCACATCCACTCAGGTCTCCTGAAAACTTCTCTTTTAATTACTTGTTCAGCCAAAAGGCTCTGGATGCAGGTGGGCATGTTGCCCATGTGGCTCAGCTCCACACATTTGTTAGCCCACGTGCAGGTGGGAGGACCAGCATGGCCCTCCCATGGACATCATAGCTGCGGTCTGGGAAGCCCCTTTCCTCCCCAGGGGACAGCCCCTCCTTTCTCCTGGGCTGACTGCTGCTGAGCCTCTAAGTCTGTTGTCGTGTGTGCTATAGGCTTTGCGTCTGTCCTGTTGCGTGCATGCTGTCAGGAGGCTCAGGCTCAGCTTTGTCCCCATTCACCATCTCCGCCTGGGACCAGGAAGGGAGAGGAGCCTTCCCTGAGTCTCACAGCCCTCCCTAGCCACGGCCTCAAAAACCCTATTCACTTCTTTCCCACATGTGTGGAGACCTCATGAAGACCTCCATTTGTCCTGTGAGTTGCTGGGGAGTTCTCTGTAGACAGTGTATTTGTTGTAGGAAGAATACAAAGAAGCCTCAGAGGGTCTCGGCCTGAGAAAACCTGGCTCTCAGGAAGAACTTTGCAAGAGCAGCCAAGGAAGACAGAGTGCTCTTGGGCCCCCACGCCCCAAATACAGAGTTACCCCACTGCCCTGTAGAGAACAGGGAAGGTGAGGCTCTCCAGCTCCTCTGCCAGAGTACTGCCTGGGACACCACCATTTTTCCCCATGTTCCCCTCTGTGTCAGCACTTGAGTGCCTGGTGCTGTTGGTCTGCCCGCCTACACCCCACCACTGGCACCCTCACCCAAGGTTACAGAAACCAAACTGGAAGTCGGGGCTCCCTTAGAGGAAGGTTGGCCAGCCAACCTGAGGCATGACCACTGCTCCTCTGGTTCTGGTTGTAGTTTTTCCCTTGTCCTGGAATGGAGAAGTCACATCCTCAAGGGTGCATGTGTCTCTGTGTTTGAGTGTGTGCGTGTGTACCTGCGTGTATGTGTGTAAACTAGAGGCTTTAAGCCTAAGGATCTTTCTTGGAAAAGCCAGTCCTTTACCACTGGAGGCAGAGAGGCCACTTGTCTCCAGTCCTTCCAGTGGACTTGGTCTGAAGGTAGTGAAGTGCTTTGTTCAGAAACAGTGGTCCAGCCCTCTGTGGACACTGTTCATGTGGCTTGGATTCCTCACGTTCAGTCTTTGCCTTTTCTGAAGACCCTAAACCTTCCAGGTAGGAGGAGAGCATTTGCTCCCGGGGTGTATGTGGAGTGGGCGTCCCCAGGGCACGCCCAGGGCCTGCTGCAGCTCAAAGAGCACAAACCGTGGGCCAAAGGTCAGGAGCCCGAATATTTCCCCTGGGATCTGTCATCATCCCAACCTCACCTGCTGCATGTTACCTTTTCTAACTTAAAAAATGACTTAAGAGTCAGAGGTGTAAGTTCTTGGAATCTTTCTGGAAAGGGGGTGAGGTGGGGCTTTCTTAGAGAGTGAAGTGTTTTCTCATGACAATTCACTAGAACTCCTGGTCACTCCCCTGAAGATTTCCCATTTACACACACACTTTCTGCGGTTGTTGGCACCAATTGGGGAAATTTTTAGAAAATTTATGATGGTTATATAAGATGAAATTTAGTTAACCACCAAAGGAAAAAAGTAGAAACCTCCTAAATGAGGCAGATAGAAAGTAGTATTTTTCTTATTATGAGGGTTGGCCTGAGTGGTGGGTTGGAAGGCCTCCAGTAGCTGCCTGCCAGCTTAGAAAAAAGCACAACTTAGGAAAAGCGAGACTAGTTTAACTGGTTCAGCCAGTGCCTGGTTGGTGCTACAAGGACAGGCACCTGGCTGGGGAGGTTTGGGAGTGTGCTGAGCACCTGCTGGAGGGGCAGGGAGGGTGGTCCACCCCGGAGCACCGAATGTTAAACTCCCTGTTCTCCTAAGTGCCTTCCTGGAAAGTGAGGACAGTGTATACGAGGGAGGGGATTTGTTGGTTTGTTTTTGTGGGTAAAATGGATCAACCGCATGGGCCTTTTAATTTCTCTCCCTTTCTAATATTTCTGTGACTCTGAGACTGAGGGACCTTGCACTAAAATATATGCACTCAGGTTTTGACCATCGAGTCTCTGGGCTAGCAGAAAGAGGGGGGAGATGGGGATCTGATTTACGATGCTCTCAACAGAAGAGCATCATAATCCTGTGGAATTACAGCGATGACCCGCTGTTGACTGAAAGCTTAGGGGTTCTTGGCCTAGGGAGAATCTGGGGGGTGGCAGGTTGGTTTGCCAGCAGCACCAAAGAGAGCTTGGTGATGTCAGGAGATTCTCCCCTCAGCTGTCTTCTGGGATGCAGGCCCATGCCCAGCTTTTTAGCATCATGATGCCCTCTTCCTCCCCTCTGCCAAAGGCCATTGCCCGCATCTTCAAGGCTCTTGAGATGCTCAATGTCACACAAGCTGTCTTTAAAGGCAGGGAGGCCAGGGTACTGTGGCTCACGCCTCTAATCCCGACACTTTGGGAAGCTGAGATTGCTTGAGCTCAGGAGTTTGAGACCAGCCTGGGCAAAATAGTGAGACCCCATCTACTAAAAATTAAAAAAAAATGGTCTGACCTAGTAGCAAGCGCCTGTAGTCCCAGCTACTCAAAAGGCTGGGGTGAGAGGATCACTTGCGCCCAGGAGATCGAGGCAGCAGTGAGCTTGATCATGCCACTGCACTCCAGCCTAGGCAATAGAGCTTGACCCTGTCTCAAAAAATAAAAAATAAAATAAAATAAAGGTGAGAGGATCTGGCTTCCTGGAAAAGCCGAAGTGGCTCCTGCTGCAGCTTCTGCTATGTCTGTGGGCACATCTTTGTCCTATATCTTCTCCTCTCAGAGACTGTATGGTCAGAATGAAAGCACCCTACCTTTTCACTGCCTGGGGAAGCTGGATGCTGGCCTAGAAGTTTGCCCAGCCTTGCATGGGGCACTGCCCGGAGCTATTGTTAGATGCTGGAGCCAGGGGTGAAGTCAGGCTGGACAGGCTGGAGTCAGACTGCGGAGGTGTCTGTGCTGCCACTCCTCCTACAGGACAGCGGGGAAGGGCAGGTGACCGCTTATCCAGGGTGCCCAGCCATTGCTGACCATATGCACTGACCCCTAGCCTGGCCACTGCTGGGTGCATGTGGAGCAAAACGGATGAGGGGAGGCCTGCAGGGCCCTAACACAAGTGGGGAAACCAGAAACGGGTGGCTACAGGAAAGGGGACTATGGGAGGGAGCTGTTGTGGCCTCAGTAGGAAAGTATGAAGTGCTCCAGGCCTGAGCTTTAGTTGGTGCCCCCCTCCCCCCACCCTCTTCGCCCGCAGCCTAGCACACCAAAACAATTGCATTGCATCTCAAAAGCCTGGGAGTTGGATGGGCTCCTGCTGGTAGGCGACGTTGGCACTCCCTGCTCAAGGTCTCCCCATTCTGTGAAGAGCACAGCCCCCCAGATTTCCCAAAAGGGGAGCTGACAAGGCCTAGCCTGGGCGGCAGTGCCCTGTCCTGTCCCTGGCAGACTGGGCCAGCAGCTCTGCATGCTGAAGAGGTGGCAGGACCAGGCACTCCACTGCACCTAGGCTGGAAATGAGGCCAGGGGGTGAAGCCTGAGCCTCT